CAACGTCTGACAACCGGCTGTCGGCCTACGTACTGCCGCCAGACCTCCTCGACCCAAACGGCCGGCCCCGGACGTTGACGCCGCAGGGCCAACTGCATCTACCGGAACCCTTCTACTCGGCAGCCGTGTCACCCTACTTCTCCTTGGCCGACCCGCAAACCCAGCTTGCACTTCTCAGCTGCAAAGACCACCCTATCCAGCTCTACCACGTCTTTGCAGACTCCCGCTCTTCGCCTCCGCTATGCTCCTACAAGCTCATCCGACGGGAGACGGAAGAGTACATTTGCCCCGAGTCCCTCTTGTGGTCGTGGCCTGGGACCCATTTCCTAGCCGGCTCGACAAATCGCCTCGACCACTTTGACGTATCACGGACCGGCTCTGATGGTCCCATCTTGACCATCCCGACCATCCCCTCCAAGCGGCATCTCCTCAAAGGTGGCGGCGTTGGCATGAAGGGCATGGTCTCTGCGCTGTCAAGCCAATACCCGGACGAGTCTGGCGCTTCGATCGTCGCCGCCGGCACCTGGTCCCGCTGGATGGGTCTTTACGACGTGACTCGGACAAACAAGGCCGTTGCGAATTGGAGCATTCAAGGCGTTGACAAGTCTCACTTCGGCCGAGATATCGGAGGCAACGGCATCGTCCAAACCATATGGAGCCCATGTGGACGCTATCTGGCCATCAACGAGCGACAGGCAAACGGCATCCTCGTCTACGACGTGCGTGGGACAGGCCAGCCTCTGAGCGTCCTGGTCGGCCGAACCACCAACACCCAACAGAAATTGACCTGTGACGTCTTCCCTGGTACTGGTGAATCGTCCGGTGGTTTCGAGCTTTGGGCGGGAACAGAGACTGGCCAAGTTCTCGTCTATGAAGCCGTAAGCTGCACAGAGGGCGTTCATGACAAGTCATGGGACTGGACCGCTCATCAATCACCCGTCGGGAGCTCAGGGGTCCACCCCACGGGATCAGTAATCGCCACTTGCTCAGGCGGATGGACCAGCCATGGAGATGAAGAGTTGAACAATGGCCTGGGTGTCGCGGGCAAAGATGGTCAGCCTCGTCTGGCATCAACATGCATCACCTCCGAATCGTCGCTCAAAGTCTGGACCTTAGCCCAGAGCCAGACGGACCAGTCGGCCGATGACTCCAAGGCCCCATGAGCAATTTCGGAGGCTCTTCGCTCTGTATCGGACAAAGTGTTCCGAATCGATGCATAGGATCATCGATACCCTCGAACGATAGAGCCAACCACGACTCACGAGGCACCCAAGTACTCATGATACCTCTGCTGGCCAAGAGCTGCGTCTTACTGCAGGGCTCCAAACGTTCCGCGCAAGTGAGACGCCCTAGACGTGTTGTACGCGAAGGATTCTGCCCCGTCTTCAGGACATGATGGTGTTTCCGGCCTGACATCACTAGTCCAGAGATACTAATCTTGCGACAATTACGGCTACCGTGATACGGGCCTAATTCCTCCGTTGTAATGGCCGGATCAGCGGCTCTGTCTGTACCTGGTTCTGGCCGAGGTACCAGCATGCGTGTCAAACGACAACAGAATTTCGGACGACTATGGCCAAGATCTACGAATAGCGTACGTGTGCATCCTTCTGCATGGTATACTGCAGATGTTGCTTAAGCATGCGGCCTAAAACCACTGACGAGAAACCAAGGTACACCCACTGCAGATCGATATCCACGTCGCCCTCTGCAGACCCGGTGTCGCCGATGCTCGATAGGACCGTCGAGTCATACGCATAGAGAGACCGATGTATAGGCTTCACATGCCATCGTATTCTTATCCATGCAAAGTCTCTTCGGCCGAACGGGTAACATCAGCGTATACAACTCAGCAGGTGTCGTCATCGCCGACCTGGCCGGCCGATACATAGACTGAGCAAACAACTTTTCAGTTGAGTCCTGCAAGCCACCATCACCATGTCGCCATTTCTTCATATTGGAAGGCCTTGTCAGTTCCTCGCTGGTTCCGTCACACGGACCGTCGGCAAGGCCTTCAAACACAACTTTCTCTGTCTGACTTGAACGGCGCCATGACCAAGCGTTCTCGCCATTAGACTATTTCCCATCCTGGACAGACACTGCCGTTCCTGACTAGCATGCCCCACGTAGCAGCCTTAGCCCGACGACTACCAGAATCTTCGGACGAGCGACTGTTTCCCGCTGTTCAAGTCCTATTTGGTTGGAATCGCGAGGCTCCCCGTTGACTTTTCGCATCGACCGCCTACCAATGGCCGTGCGGACTCTTCTCTCCTGGCTTCATTGTGTTACGAGAAGAAGCAACGGTCGCATCCCAATGGCCATCAGATCCCACAAAATAAGGTCGTGATCTATCTACTCCTGGTGGGGCGCTAAACGAAACAACCCCGCCGATTGCCTGGGCACAATCGTCAACGTCGATGGCATCGACAGCGCGGATGCCCATTATCGCATCGACAGGGATACTCTGAGCGGCTTCTAGGAACCGCTTTTCAACTTCGATACCTAGAGCTAACGGCGGTACCGGCCGAAAGCAAAACGCTGAATTCCCGGACGAGAGGATTGCTTGGATCGCCGCTGCCGCGGGGCCCGTCTCAGAGATATGTAACATGGACGGACTTGAACGACCAAGTGTGCAGCTGCTCCATCTGCATCTCCTCATGTCAGGAGTCAGACTTGGGATTTCGCTGTCCTAGCGGCCGGCTGTCTATGAGCCGGAAGTCAAAGAAGCTTTTTAGAACATTCCGTAACGCACTTCGCCAAACTTCTCTGCCATAAATATAGTCGACGATGGCAATCGCATTCGTTACGGTATCTTGAGCCAGCACTGCATCTCTCGCTTCCAGCTCTACCACCTTTCGCTTCAACTTTCAGCAGTCCTGACCTTCGGGCGGGGTTCGATTCATTCCAGTCGTTTATATCCATTCTTCTTTTTTTGCTCTCGTTGGTCTTGGACCATTGCAATCATGAAGACTACGTCTCTCCTCACTGCGGCCTTAGCCGGCGTTGCGATTGCTCGCCCTGGCATGGATATCAATAAGATGATGGCTGATGCCAAGCTCGAGGCTCGCCAAGCGGACGGTGGCGGCCCTTCGACAGAGCTCATTGGCGATCTTGCCACGCTTCGGGGCCGCGAACTCACTGCGACCGGCCAGGCAATCAAAGATATCTTGACTGCTGAGGCTCCCGGCCAGGACCTGAAGGCCTCTTACGACGACTCCGATCTTCCCCCTAAGAACTCGGCGGAGTGTAGAGAAGATGATTGCTGCATTTGGAAATACATTGCCGACGATATGGCCGCACAGATGGTGGGCAATGCCGGCCGCTGCAACAACGTCGCTCGTGGTGCCATTCGTCTTGGTTTCCACGACGCAGCGTCTTGGTCCAAATCTACAGGCGGTACGGGAGCTGATGGCTCCATTATCCTTGCCAACGAGTGTAAGACACGCTCCGACAACAAAGGTCTCGAGGAGATCTGCGATACCATGGAGGGCTGGTTTGCCAAGTACAAAAAGTACAAGATCTCCATGGCCGACTTGATCCAGACTGCCTCCAACGTTGCCACCGTCTCCTGCCCCTTGGGACCCCGAGTTCGCACCTTCGTTGGCCGCAAAGACTCGACTACGTCCGCGGTGAAGAAGCTCCTGCCGGATCCGTCTGACAGCTCTGCTAAGCTATTCAAGCTCTTTGCAGACAAGTCGTTCACGCCGGCCGGTCTCGTCGCTCTAATGGGCGCACACAGCACCAGCCAGCAACGCTTCGTCGATCCTACGCGCGCCGACTCGCCTCAGGACAGCACGCCAGGAACTTGGGATATCGCCTATTACCAGCAGACACTCAATCCCAATGCCCCCCCGGCCGTCTTCAAGTTCCAGAGCGACATCAACGTTTCCCAGGATCCGCGCACCAATGGCGTGTGGAAGGCATTTGCAGCAGGGCCGCGCGGTCAGTTCATGTGGAACGAGGTAAGCCTTATCCCGGCAGCGTCACACGTTCGTCCCATCTGGATAGACTTCCCGAGACTAACAACCTAAACCTTAGGCGTATGCAACCGAGTACGTCCGCATGTCCCTCCTCGGGGTCAACAACATCAACGACTTGACCGAATGTACCAAGGCCCTGCCACCTTTCCGCCCGGCCTTCCAGCAGCCCGATGAAGATCTTTTGACAAAGGTCATGGGGAGCGTCATCAACTCTGACGCCATCAAGCAAGCTCTCGAAAAGGGAGACAAGATTCCGCCCAATGCCATATAGACTGCAAACGGATTGATGTGACGTTTTCTTGCAGCGTACATAAGGTTACCGGCTTTCTCGTCGTTTTTTTTCTTTCTTTCGCACCACCAATTTGTACCATATTATTACATGTAGAACAGGGCCAAGGCGTTTCCGGTGTTGCGTGCATAGACCACCAAAAAAGAGTCACGACTTACATGGGCCGAGGCTGGCCTCAACATGGCGTAGACCAAGACTGTTGGAATAGGAGTTGAGCTTCAGGAAGCATATTCTTTGTTATTTTTACTTCTAATCTCATTATTTTCTTCTGCCGTGTTTGATCAGATATCAGAATACACAACGCTAGAGTTGCAGAAGATTTGCTCAAAACATGTCTTGACTCTTGGTCTCCTCGGCATCACGATTCACACTTGGAAGGCAAGGCCACCACCCGTAGGGAAGAAGTCTGTCTGCGTGCCTGACACGGGTCTCTCTCTGGGCAAGTTGGCGGCCCTGTTCTCGGCGGACCGATGATGAGACGTGAGGTCCAATTTAGATCACCTGGTGGTCCCAACTCGCATGCAAAACCCTCGCCCGAGCCAACCGATCGTCGTCTGCAGCGAAGGTTAATCGCACGCACCATGCGGGTTCGACGCAAGGTACGTATGGTTAACCCACACCATAACTCAACACCTTCTTTCCAGAGCACACAAAGAATCCATCCGAACTCTGTGCAGATGGGTTCGCCGGGTTCCGAACGCCTTTCCCTTGCAGCTAGCAAACTCCAGCATTCAGCCCAGACGCGCATTGACTCTGTCCACGAGACTACCACCACCAAGAAAGCCCTTGAGGGCGCTCGCCCTCTCCGAAGAGCTCATTCTCAGGAACCGTACGAGTGTTCGGTCTTGGTGATTGTTACCGCCGCCGTCACCGTTTACATCTGCGACTGGATGACCCCCCTTGACGACTGCGAGAGCGACCTGGGCCGCGTACATGTTGAAGCCGGCGTGTCGGAGAAAGACTTCCCACTCCGTCTCTTCCGACATGATGACTTGCTGCACCTGGTGGGATGCTTCTTTGAGGTGCGTCGAGACGAGGGCGCACGTCCAGTGAGCTAGTGTCTTTTGGCCGCCGGCCACATAAACCACGTCGATGGTGCAGCCGCTGCTGTTGCTGACGGAGCATGCGAAAGCGACGAAGGAGGTGTACACCGCGGCATCGGCTGCGTTGAGGGGTCCGATGTGTTCCGCAGTGGGGTTGCCTTCCGAGACGAGGATGAGGAGTTGTTCGTAGAGCGGTGCGACTCTCGCTACGCGATCGCGAAGTTGGGAGAATTGCGTCTTGGATCCTGGGAGAGGCCTTTGTCGGACTTTGAGGATTGATGTGATGATGATGCCTGTCGTCGGGGAGGGGATGATGTCGGCCTCGTAGGATAATGTGGATGGCTTCTCTACGGTCTTGACGCTCCCGGGGGACCAGACACGAGTGTTGTGTCGGGAGAAGTCACGGTCTACGAGATCGATGTCGGGTAGCTTGGCTTGGAGGGCTGATATGATTTCTCGCGGAAGGGTGGTAGAGATGATGATTCGCGAAGGGCCGTTTGTGTGCCCGATAGCCGGGATCGGTGCGTCTATGGGGCCCTTCTTTGTTGTCGGCTGTGTTGTTTTCGGCTTCGATGGCACCTGTCTAGCGATCGGCGCGGGAGCTTGAGAAGCCTTCCGTTTCGTGGTCGGGAATAAGGGATCAAATGGGCTTTTGACTCGTTTCGCGCCTCGTAGGTCCATGTAGTTGGCCAACAGCTTTCCCGCGGCATTGCTCTCGTTTTCGCCGAGGAGCAGGCCTAGTCCATGAATCTTTGTCGGCTTCGATTGTGTGCTGGTCCGACGGTGCTTGACACCCACAGTGGGTGACTCCTGATCTATGGGATCATCCATTGCATCTTGTTCCTGTTTGCGTTTTCTAATAAGCTGCATGAAATCCTCCCTCGGCGTAGGTGAGCTACTCTGAGCTTGGTCTTCTTCCCAAGGCATCGGAAGCTCCTCGTCGTCATCCTCGGGACGTAACACCTTGAGGGTGCGTATTTGCCGCACGTAATCCGCGCTCGTTGGCAGTGCTGTAGACCGCCGTCCGTTGAGTAAATGTTGCAACACTTCGCCATCTCCCACTGACTCCCTGACATCCACAAGACCCAGTGACGATGGGAAAGGGATCCATCGCAGATCCGTTTGTTCTTGCCGATTCCGTGGCCATGCTGATGATGTGAACAGGACAATGTTCTGGTTGCGGATCCAGAAGAACATTTTGTCTGGGTCATGGGCAGCTCCTTGCCAGTCTGATGCGGGTATGCTGAAATCGAGGACTGGAGGCTGCATTCTGGCGATGGCGTCGATGACTTCGACTTGTTCTTGTTCGAGCTTCCGGGTCATGGTGTCTGCTTTTTCCGTCAAGAGAAGATTAAATTGCTCATTGAATCTAGATTCTTCTTCTGAGCAAGGACTTGACCTTGACGGTCCTGGAACATTCCTCAAGGTGAACTCTGCGGTATCACGCATTATTGCCCGAAAGGCTTCTTCCCCTTCGCTTCTGGGTATGGAATCATCGGACTTGGGAAGGATTGGGGCTTCCATAGCCGGTGCTGTAATCTTCCGTGGAGGAGGCGTGGGGATGTCGAAGCTGGGTGTGTCTGAGGGAATACCGACAATGTCCGACGTAGAGGCATCGAGGAATTCGAAATCTTCGTAGGCTTCATCCAGGATATGTTGAGAAAACTCGATATCCTCCTCGAGAATTCTTTCCGGGTCAGAAAATTGATGTATCTCACAGAAATCAGCGTCTGGAATAAATAGCTCTGCGTTGTCGGTTGCATCGAAAGGCGTCATGATCAACGGGGGGGTCATGGCTTCAACCCGCTTCTAGCCAGACAAGCTTAGCAAAAACCATAATGCGAAGTTTGACTGTGATTGCTTACCGCCATCATGCCCGTCTCCAGGGCAAACAGCTGCTCAAAGTCTTTTTCGGACCATTCAACGTATGTAGACTCTGCAACGTAAGCCAGGTCTTCCTCGGTGTAGTCGAGTTCATCGGGCTCGGCTCCCCTCGCAAGCTGACCGTGAAAGTGTATCGCAGAGAGCGGAAGACCGAGACCCTCATCCTTCGCATCATTGACAGGCTCATGAGGTAGTGTGTTGGGCTTGCGGAAGAAGTCTAGACACTTGGTCTCGGATTCTAGCCTACCGAGGGCTTTGAAGTCGTGTCTCGGGTCACTTCTTAGAGACGGAAGCTCAAGCTTCAGGATAGCGTGTGAAAATCGCGTGTGTGGTATGGAGGCTTCCATGGATAGCTTGAAGATGTCTTCCGGAGGAAAAACTTGGATGGACTTTGCAAGCATATCGTCGGCACTCTCGTCTTGTAGATCGATCTCGGGGGTGAAAATGGGTTCTGGAACTGCGAAGAATGGTAATTCTGGCGTTTCGTCGAGGTGTTGCGTGTATTTGACATGTGGTGATTCTTGCAAGCGCTCAGCGATATTCTTCGGGTGTGTAGGGAGGTAGATCTTGGGATTGATGAACAACTCCTGTATCAAGGCATATTCGGCTGGTCCAATGGCTTCGTTGGCCATATTGTACGAGGGCCTTCGACAGAAATCTTGAACTCAGTCGATTAAGGGAGTCTGATTCTAGACGCGAGAATACCAACAATCAAAGGACAACATGAAAGCCAAGCTTCAAAGTCCCACGCGGAGAGGGCTGCGATGGTCTGACACTGAAGATGCGGCCTTTTGGCGGATCGAGAATCAATATAGTTGCAGAAAAACTTTGGAGATATTATTTGTGCGATTTGTCTCGAGCGTCAGTAGCAAGGAAGGTCTTCTACTGTTGTCGTTCTGCCTGCCTCAGGACGAGAGGTAGCGGGTGTCGTTCCAATGTTCCTCCGGGCTCCCGGTGGGCCCACTTTCACCGCCGTGCCTGCCACTCGAAATTGCAGTCCCGAGATACGTAACTTCCAGGCAGCCAACGGGACAGACGGGAAAGAATGACGGGGGAAGGGACGACATGTCCGTACTGCCGGCTAACCAAGTTCGGCGTGGGGCCGCGTCAGGCCTAATCGACTCGGGTCGCAGCAAGTTAGCCATGCCGTCTGGGAAGAGCGATGCCTACCGACAACTTAACTCAAGGAGGAAGTAGTCTATCTGGGTGCGAGTATGCCGAATCAACCGGAGTCTGTTGTTACCTGCGCAACCATCATCTTGGCATCCGAGCGATGCCTGGTCCTCGACCGAATGAGCGAACTGTTGTTAACTTCCGATACCCTTCGGAGCTAATCACGGATCGGAGCCGGCGTAGTGCAATACTGGACCCGTTTCCCCCCCCCTCATAGCGCACGGTGCAGCGGCCGCCAGCAGTCACGCAAGCGGTGTGCTTGGTTTAGGGGAGATCTGCCCCGAAGCTACTCGGCTCGGGGGGTGGGGATTGGGTTCGACGATCGGATGATAAGCGGACTTAGAGCCTAGCGTAAGGGGAAAATGGAGACCAAGGTAACCTTACAGCGGTTCGAGTTCCACGTTTGAAGATGTGCGAGGGCGGCTGAGTAAGACGTTGATGGGGGAAGCCGGAGGGAGGTGGATGGACTCCATCAGTGCGGAGACAACAGGTTTCTGTTTCTTGTGTGGAAGTATAAAACCACCTCTCATGGCTGATACATCATCCTCTGGCTTGTCTTGATAGCTAGCTAAGTACCTGTTTTGATCCACGTTTAACTCGACCGCACACCCCAAGCCTCTTCCAAGAATACAGTCTTCAAGCAGGCAAAATGGCGACAACTCTAGGATCAAAAAAGTCTATCCGCATTGGCGTCATGTTGGAGGCAGTTCAGCTGAGCGATATCATGGGCATTGACCTCTTCGGCAACCTATCCCGCGAATATTACAACAAAGTCAAGGACTTTGACCCCGAATTCGCACAATGGGCCGATCACCCAGTCGACACCAAATTCTACTTCATCTCATCCACTCTAGAGCCAGCCGAGATGACCCCCGGCCTCAAATTCGTCCCCAACATCACCTACGACGACTGCCCTAGGGATCTGGACCTCGTCCTCATTGGTGGGCCACTCCCTAGCCACCGCCCGCCCGCTGCCGAACGCTTCATCAAGGAAGCTTATCCGACGACGAAGGTCTGGTTGACGACGTGCATCGGTAGCCCTTGGTTGGCCAGCGCCGGGGTACTGAAGGGCAAGAAGTGCACGACGAACCGCGAGTTCTTGCCGTTTGCGAGACAGGTCCACCCCGAGACTGAGTGGCTTGACCAGAGGTGGGTTGTGGAGGAGAAGGAGTATGAGGGCGAGGAGAAAGGCGAACTCTGGACTGGGGGCGGAGCCGGCGCTGGTAAGACCCATCTTGTTCACCCTTTTCATAGCTGGCCAGTGATGCTTACATGACTGAAGGTCTTTCGATGATCATCACGTACTTGAATAAGAACTTTGATCCTGGATTTGTCCAAAAGATGGCACTGGAAGCTATTGCCTTTGAAGAGTTGGCGCTGAACCAGTTTTACAAGACTTCAAGGTAGACTCTATGAGCAGTCGAATGAATTGATCGAACAGCTACAGGAACCTCCAAATGGTTCATTCCCCACGAAGTTGCTCTATTTACCTGGCCTATGTGCACTGAGCAGTTGCCAATCATGCATTCACGTAGCCAATGATGAACTCTGGAGAGTCATAACGATCCCAGCTCTCCGGCAGGCTTCTATCCGCCATGATTTTCAAAGCAAAGATGCTGAGCTGATATTTACCAGCCGGCACCCAAGAGCCATCCGCCAAGCTCCCATCCCACGGGCTCATCCATCCAATGGGCCTAACGTAGGTCATCGGGTACCCCGCCACGTTTCCAAGGCTCATCACACCAAGGCCATTGTCCTTGGCATCCGGGTTGGGCTCAGATTCCAGCGATGCAACTGGCACGGCCTCGAGACGAACCTCGGAGCTTCCCATGACCAACCACAAAAACTGGTTAGGAAAAGCTCCGAGGGGAAGAATAAGATCCGAAGTGTTGGCCAAGGGCAGGGCCCAGTCAGGATGCGCAGCTGGAACGGGAAGCTGGAACGTGGTGTTGGCGGGTACATCTGGGCTTCTCGGATCGTCACTACGGCTGAAGATGAGGCGTTTTGCAGCAAGGACTGTGATGTTCTTCATAGACGTAGCAGCCCCGATGTAAGGTACCGAAAGTGCAATCTCACCATCGCCATTGGTACCATTAAGAGCGACCCAACCTGAGTATAGCGGGAGAACTGCCGCATCCAAACCTTTGGGAGGAACCACGCTGATGCGAACTTCACCGGTGGCATTGGGCTCCAAGCTAAAGCTCGATGGTTCAAATGTCAGAGTCGCGTACGTCGTGAAGAGCTCGGGAGAGCTTTGACGATAGATGTCGGTGAGAGTTGTGGCAGTCAAGGCCGGGATGTGGGACACATTGTACGTTGCCGTTGTGTCTCCAACGTTTGTCACGATGAAGGTGGTCTCGGAGATGAAGTTGTCGGTGTCATTGAATGACAGACTGGCGACGCTCAGAACGGATGTTTCGTACGCTGCGTCGTAGGCCTGGACCATACCGGCTCCTTGTTGCGGCACAGGGCCAAGACCGGCTTCGATGTTGTTGACTCCGTAATTCTGTGAGAGGTTTGGCTTTGCGGTTGAAGCGAGCAGCCTCTTGATCAAATCTGGGTCTCTGGTTCCTCGTGCCTGTACGGTGTCAGTCTAATTATCCTGGGCAGGATATGGTCGGGACGCCCCGGTTGAGGTAAGAACCTACCTGTGATACAAGAGCCACGATGCTGGCAACGAGAGGAGTTGCCATGGATGTGCCTGATGCTTCGGCATATTCCCCAAGAGCGACAGGCCATGTACTCAAGATACCGGCACCGGGGGCACCGAAACTCGGCGCAAGCTTAAGCTCAAAGGTCGGACCCCAGCTCGTGAAAGCAGATACCTTCCCCTCGCTATCCGCTCCTTGACTCTGGTAGGATGAGATGGACATCACACCGTCACCAGTGCTCGGTGTACTAATGCCGAAAAGGCCCTCCGTACCACCAACCTCGTTGCCAGCGGCGAAAGTGCAGGGAACGCCGGCATCCACGATCCTGGAAACAGTGACGGCAAACGCCTCTCCAGCCCAGCCGTTCGGCCCTCCAATGGATCCGGTGATGATGTCGCTACCATCTTCGAAGGCCTGGATCACACCAGCGAGCAGGACATCGCCAGTCGTCTGTCCGTTGCAGGCAAAGGTCCGGTACATACCCAATTTCACCCCGGGCGCCGCACCGGTAAAACCCATGGGGTTCTCCATCGCAGCAATGATGCCGGCGACATGTGTTCCATGGCCCAGGCAGTTCTCAAAGGGATCCGCGTCTGGGACGGGCGCGTTCGTACCGTCGTAGGAGTCACCCACGATATCGGATCCGAACTCGACGAGACACCCTGGGCCGAAGCAGCCGCCCAGTGCGGGGTGAGTGTAGTCGATGCCCGTATCGACGATGCCGATCTTGAGGCCTGTACCGATGAAGCCCTTGGCGCGGAGCTTGTCCACTTGCGTCATGACGTGAGGGGGCCAATCATCTGTGGAGTTTGTTTGGCGTTTGTATTTGGATGAGGTCTTGTCTTTGCCGGTCCAGGTGATCTCCAGCTTAGGTACACTGATCAATGGGACCGGCCAGAGTTTCTTGACTTGCGGGAGTCCGGAAATCTTTTGGGCTGTCTCGTTGTTGGAGCCCTCGATATGGATGGACACGCCCTTGAAGACCTTGGAATGGAGGTTGAGACGCTGGGAGACCTCAGTCGCGCCGGTTTCTGTCTTGAGCTGGTTGAGGAATCCGGCACCATCCTGCTGCGTATTAGAGCATCGCCAATGGGCACAGGTCAAGTTGGTGGACTGACTTGGTTGTCGGCAAACTCGACTATGAATGCGCCAGGAACATAAGTTCCCTCCAAGACCGGTGTCACCTCATCTCTCTCCACGGTCAATGCAGAGGACAAAGCCACGATGCCGGTCAATGCCGCAAGCGATGCTCTCAAGGCGACCATGATGAGCTGATTTCTTGCGTACGAGAAACCTCAAAGTCCTGTAGTCCAGGGCTCCGAGGAAGCCAAGGCATAGTGTGCCTGTAGGATATGCTTATATATACGTCTAAACCTCGAACGACATGATGGGCGCGCTTCGAAAACCCATGCCCGTGGTCATCTGGGTCGCATTTGACACTATCGCCATGTTGTGTTGAGGGGACATGTTCTCCACCCAAAATCGCCCAAAACTGACATTCGGATAGATGAAGTGACTCGAGGGTGCGGGGCAACACGAGCTTTCTGAGAGCAATTGAGCAAGATAAGAGCGCGATAGAGGGCGATACTGAGGTCTCTTCGCAGTGACAGTGGAGGGATCCCCCATCACGAACTCGGAGCCTGTCAATTCTGGCCAGGATTCTTGTCTGTGCCGCAGCATTCAACCGCTTCGTTGCAGCGGTGCCGATGGCTTCATAAGAAAAATCCGGAATTCCGTCAACGGGGAACGAGGGGGGTTAAGGAAGGTGGTATTAGGCACAACCCCATGTTGCCCTCGCCGGCGCGAATGCAACGTGATCTTGGCGCATACAGAGTTGCTTCAGTTGGCGCGACTGGGACCGCGACCGATACTGAGAGTGCCCAAAATGGAGATTTCACGGCGATCAAGGTGTGGTGAGATATCGGGAAGGTTACCAAGCCTCGCACTCGGTCGAGAAACTTCAAGTACCAGAGTCCGTTAAACTTGGCAAATGCAGCGCACGTATAAAGTCCGAAATGCAACATTATTAAGGACAAATACTAAGCTTACATTTACTCGGATAGTCGGTGTTCAGAAGAGAACGTGGTGCTTGAAGCTCTTCATGCCGAAGTCCCGTTCACCACCGACCACGCCCCCTCCAGATAAAGCTTGTCCAGCGCCGCCGCCGCCGTGACATTGTCCACCCTGAGGTTCAACCAGTGCTGATTAGTGACGTTCTTGTCATAAACCCACTCGTTCGAGCCATTGGCATAGACAAAGTTCCGCCCGTTCGTGTTGCCGTATTCAAAGATGTCTCCGAGGCCATGCATAGCATACAACACCGTCAGCGGATCCCACGACTCCCGAGGCCGGTAGAAGTTGTAGTAGATGTACGCCTGCCGGACCGGATCCGACAGGGGGCCCTCTGCAAGCAGCTTCGCTCCGGACAACACGATCGAGCCGACTTCAGTCCCGCAGAAGACCATGCGCCCCTTCCAGTTGTTCACGACGTGCGCCGTGTGCGAAGGATTATCCCCAAAGAAGTTGAACTCCCGACCGGCCGGGTACCCCCGCCCATAACAACCAGCTCCGAAACCTTGCTCGCAATCAGCGCGGGCCCCGTGAGGTTGGAGACGGCGTCAGCAGTGGAGTTTAAGAGCGCGGAGAGGTTCTCAAAGAAGCCGATGGAGACGATGGTCACGGGCTCGTCGGCCTCAGCGAGGATCCTGCGGTAGACCGTCACCGCGTCGGAGGCGTTTTCGGCCTGGCCGAAGGGGAGCGAGCCGCCCGAATAGTGGTACGAGATCTTGCTTGCGTACTCCCCTAGGTCGTAGGCGAAAGTGTCGAAGAAGGGCTCATCTGTCATAGGTCTGCGCGCACCTATGGGGACGTCCGCGAGGCCATAGTGAGCGAGGATTGCACAAGTCGCGGTGACTGAATAGGTTGATGGGTAGTTGACGTTGACTCCTAGGAGGTTCACGTCTGGTGAGGTTGCGGCGAGCAGGAGGGCGCCGGTGTCACTGTTGCGATGTTAGAGTCCGGGTGTTTGGTGAGTTTCTGGGGGCAAGGTTGGCACTGACTCGCAGTCACTGAAGATGTCAGTATCAATGATGATGTTCTTGCGCGCTGCCAAGGCCGGCTGCACAGCCAGCGCGGCTGTCGCAACTTTCACGATGAACGAAGAGGCCATGGCTGATGAAGGCTGTTAACTCAGATTGAGCCTGGGGGTCAGGCTCATGAGTAAACTCCGGGGCTGAAAAACATCGGACGAACCGGTGGTTGTACTCTTTAAGTTGAGGATCCTTATCTTGACTCGGCAGTATGAGGGGAAATATTGCTCTTCTTGGCAGGGATTGACTCCGATTTTAGGAGACGAGTGGAGACTCTCAAATCAATTTAAGATGGATTTTCCACGGGAAAAATCCTCATTGTCAAGGTTCACCGTTGAAGACTGACCTTGGGTGAGAGAAGCGAGCTGATAAGGAAATCCTTAGCGTTTGCTGCGTTGACCAAGCTCTTGGAGACCTCAAATTTGAAGCAGATCGACAATCGGCATGCAGCAAACGGCGAGAAAGAAACATGCTTTCTGTACCAAACACGACACTAGGCCATTTCTGCTTTATTTCTATCATATGTAAATCTACGGAGTACCGTGTAGTATTATAGATCATGCGACTCCTTTACAAAGAAAAAGCGCCGACTTGAATAAGGGAAACGCCAAACTCCACTCATGTCACGTTCTAAGGGATGCTTTCTTCAACCTCGCTTGCGAATCTTCACCGGCACCTTTCTATCAAAGGCATGAGATCCAAATGGCATAGCCCGGTGATGTGAACGAGCCTGAGCCGCATCCGCCGGGTCCAAGATCTCCACCTCAAAGTCCCTCAAAATGAGAAAAACGGAGACAAGAATGGTTTTCTTCGCCAAAGTCTCCCCCGGACACCTCCAAGCGCCTCCTCCGAAGGGAAAGAAGTGCCCTCGCAACAAGGATGGATTCGACAGCTTGGCTTTCGAATCATCGCGCACGTACTTCTCCGTCACATCGTAGTTTTGCGGCACCGAGTCGGGCTTCCGGAGCGGGCCGCTTGTCGGATCATCGGGGTACTCGAGAAACCGCTCCGCCCAGAAAGTCGAGAGAGAGTGCTCCGCGACCCCGTTGATTGTCCGGCCCGTGTTCCAGATGGATCCGTCCAGACCGCCGAGCCAATTTGCTGATAAGGCGGTGGTCCCCGATGGTAAAGTGGAGAAGGAATCCCCATGGAGACGGAGGCCAGGACCCACCGATTTACGGCCGATCGCGCCGGCAACGTGAAGTCGCAACGTTTCTCGGTAGACTGAGTTCAGCAGCGGAGCCGATGATAGTGCTGTGCAGTCTAGCGATGCCTTTTCTCCGTTGTCTCGGATGCTCAACTCGTGCCTTAACCTCGATGCAAGGGACCGGTCCAGTACAGCATGTAGGACCATCCAGCAGGCGGCGGGAATGGTGTTCGCCGTTGTTCTGGAAATGTGGATTAGTCTAAGTCCCCGAATAAATCACGTAACTAGCAGGAGGTAGACTTACACAAATAAGAAGCCAAGGATAACACTTGAGATCCCGGCTTCGGAGAATCCAAGATCCTCATAGCGCCGAACCATGTTCCTCACATAGCGGGTACCCCAAACAGGATCAGACTCCGCGTTGCCCGGTTCCGCATCGTCATGGTCACTGTTGGAGTTGCACCAGCTCCTCCACTTTCTCAGGTTCTCGAGCACAAGGTCTCGTGTGCGGTATTGAGAGGGGTACATCCAGCGTGGGCTTCCACGTGAGACGACGGGGAATACATCATAAAAGGCCCAAAATTCGTCACAGAATGATGGGCAAATCCTAAAGATGTGCTTCCCGTAGAGAGCCTCGACTTCCGCCCGGAAAATTGCATCGCGGACGAACTTATATAGATCAGGAAACACAACGGGACATTGGTCCGTGATAGAAGCGTTATGTAGCCAGAGTTGATGATTGAGATTAGATGAGAATCTGTCCATCACAAGTCTGAGATTCTCCCCATTCAGGAAGGTGATGAAGTCTTTTCGTTGATGTTCCATGATTCTTCGGGATGCGTCTGGATGGGAGGTTGAAAATCCTGCGCCGTCACGCTTCTCGAATGACGAGACGTGGTCATGTTCGAACACATGATAGTCGGCAGTCTGCAAGCCAAAGAAGATTGTCAAGGCATCGAAGATCCCAGGTACCGGGACAAGCTCTCGAGGTCCCTTGAAAAGTAACCGCACGCCTTCGCCGGGGAGAACGTAGCAAAGCGAACTTGCAGGTGCTGAGAGGGATAGGACGGAGCCCTGTAGGCGAGACCTGAGACTAGTATTAGACTGGCATTGTAAAGTTGATGTAGTTTCACATCGTTTCCACATACTGTAGAGGACGAAGAAATCTCTCGGCGTTGAAGAGGATGGAGTAGGCATGGCCAAGTCCCGGGACGAAGTATGGAGGTATGGCAGGTCGTATGGCTTCTGCCCTACTGCAAGGTCGGGTCTGCCAGAGGAAGCGGATGTAGGTGAAAAGATAAGTGAGAAGGAAGGGTGTACTCAAGACGAAGACAGAGCATGCGGACTTTGCAAAAGCATCTCGCATTCCACCTTCCAGGCGCGATTCTCCAACCACTTCGGTAAACATCTTGGGGGCTTCGACTGGTATCAAACCAACACGTCTACATAAAGTAAGGTAGAAGGAGAAAAGAGAACACCAATGATCCATGGACCATAGAGTATCTGGCTCCCTTTATCACATCACTCGAGACTCCAGGGACCCAAGGACCCATTATCACATGGAATTCTTGACAAGTCAAATATCAGCCGGTAGTCGCGCGAGTAGTCATCTATTTCAATGGTCGCGGGTGGAAACAGGGTGACAATGGGGGCCAACAGCACCCGCTGCCTTGATTTTTCAAACTCGTCACGCAGGTCGTGTTGGTTGTGAATATGAAGACTTGGCTCAAAGGATTGTGGCAGAATACCCTTGCCGCGGTCAATGACTCCTTTTGGCAACTCTTCAGCAAAGAATCTTCATTTTTACGGCGCGACCGCCGCAGAAAGACATATATCACTTATCACAGCGCTTCTTCGACTCTAGGTGGCTTGGGGCCCGGATTGCATGCCTCTCGGCACTTGGTGGATCCGTGCATCTTGTTTGTCAAGAAAAGAATGACATCAATCTAGGTCGGAGACCCCTCGAAGTGACTTGCCCTCCATGATGTTACGAATTACGATTGGACGCCCGGTTTGTTTGCTTGGTGAGGTGGTTTTGGGGTGAAGGGAACGTCAGGCGCTGAGCCGCCGCTCCTCCGGGTCTACCGCCGGCTTTCCATGGAGACGGGCGGTGACTCGACTTGCATGGACACCCGGAAAAAGCATAGAGGGCTACCGATATAGACGTGGCGAGCCTTTGACTACGACACCAACCCCAATTCTTAGCCCCGGAGTTTTGGGGCCCGGGATCCTGCACACAGCTTCGGAAATGGCCCCCAGGAATGGTAGGGCGATATGTGGGACTCCGTTGTGATGCCGCATGGGATTGGGCTGAAGTCTTTGTTTGCTAAGTGTCGTTGGAAGATACAATATGGTCGGGCTGGATTCGATGGGTTCGATTGGGTCGGCGGGTTGGCTTTGCCGCAGGTGAGGAAGAATCCATGTTCCAACGGGACGGATGCACTGTGACAGTCTCTTGCAGTCAGTCACTTGGCTGAATTCAGCTCGCCACGGCCTCCGGGTGACAATAGGGAGTAGACGCCACTCCCGCGGCATCCTCCGTATTTGACAGATCTCTTCGAGTAAACAGGAGGGTTACACATAATTCCTTCTAGACGGGTGGCTTGATGTGATGACTTGGAACTTTGCAGCCATCCTGCCGGTCTTATTATTTGCCCTCTATCGTGCATGCGACATCCGTCTGCAGATTCACCGACCCGGTAGGTACAGTATACTAAGGTACTAATTACATGTAGTATTATAGTACCAGGTCATTGGATCTGATGCAGGTCATTCGCACACCATATCGCGGTGAGGACTCCTGTGGTGGTATTGTTCGAACTCGATATGCATTCACAGAGCCTGCTTGAAGGTATTAGCGCAAAAGGCTACCTAGCAGTCCGATATGCTAAGGCGGGAGACTCTTTTCCTCTTCGCATGGTATGGTCTTCTGGAATAACCAGTCTCGGCAACCCCATTCATTCACTGCAGTCTTGACTCGGCGAAGGGACAGAACAATAGGAACAATACGCGGAAGCTCGAGGTTGAAAGGTTCATCAAATCGATGACACTATTGAGGGCAGTCACGATTGATTGGGCACCAACCGAAAAACTCGGTGTATTTACCAGCCTCGAATTTGAGTTACTTTTCAATTACGGTGTGTAGGTGGGAGCTTTGGACAGGGCTCTATCAATGGGGCACCTGGACCTGGCTTTTGAAGACTGCAGAGAATCAGTCACCGATAGATAACACATGGCCCAGGTACACAGGCAGCAAGGATGATGCGCCGAGGACTTCTAGATCGTTTGCTTCCGCAAGATTCTCGCAAATCGACCCAGACCGGGTTGATAAATACGCCGTTTGCTCAGTTTGCTGAACCTCGATATCCATGCCCCGCAGGATCTCTATGCCGTGCTAGATTCGTTCCGTACCGTAGGAACCGCGAGCTCGGGGCTATGCGGCTGCCCATCCCCTCGGGCCACGGTCAATATGATTGAAATTACCCCACAGGGACCGGGCGGTCCGTGAACACCAACCAGAAACCGGGCGTATTCAGCTCGTAGACGTTGAAGTTGGGGTACCGGTAGTTGTTAAGCGTTCCCCGCGTTCTGTCTACTAAGACGTAACACAGCAACTCGACGGTTCACACAATTGCCGGCTCGATCAGCAGTGGGATAGAATGCCGAGGTCCTGGTGACAATTCATCATCAACCCCACCGACAGTCGGGCCTGCATAGATAGCAAGTCTAACAACACACAACTTGATCGTCCACCACCTCTAAGTTCCATTGTCATCAAGAGCCGAAATTCAACTTAGGTGTTACAACTCGTGCACAAACATACCTCCTCAATCTGAAGAAGCCCCGTGGAAAGCCATTGCTCGACGTAAACAAGCCGAAAGAGCAGCACGCATTCCATCAAAATGGCACATCCCAACCAGATCCATCCCAAAAGACCCCCCTCAACTAGGCGATGGGCCACAGAAAGTCCTCGACATACCACGCCAATTCTTATCTCAATCCGAAATCTCAATCACCGAGA